ATACCTGGGGTGGGCCTTTCCATCTCGTTTCTAGGGCAGAGTTGCTGAGGTGTTTCACAAATTCCACAGGTTTCAAGTCATGCAATGCTCCTTGCAGAGTGGTTCCCTAGGCAACGCTGCTCCAACCTGCTTGGGAGAAGACTTAGTATAACTTTGCCAGGGCATGACAAAACCTAATCACGCCGGTCTTCTGCAGAACTTATTACCTGTGGTGAAAGCCACTGCAAGCAAGGAAATAACAGTGGGGAAACTGAGTCAAGAGGATTCTGCCACTACCTTCCTGAGACTGTCCTCTATCTACCTGTGAGACTATAGCATTTGTTGGTGGCAAGATGACACTTCCTGTGAGCATCTCTGGGAATTTTCCCTTGGAATGGTGGACTGCTAATGTACCATTAAGGCAAACGGTTATATCTGGTTTCAATTCTCGGATCAAATCAAATTAGAAATCAAAGAGGCCCCACTGCACATAGCAAGTTTCACTAATTACAATTTAAATTGGGGAACCATTGTTTCTCAAGTTTATGCTAAAATCATTAGGCTCAAGATACTGAAGTGAAATATGCATCCATAGGGCGTATTAGCTATGGACTAGGACTTCACCAAAAGATCTCGGTTTTGTTTCCACCTCTTCTCCCCCCCCCCCGCCACCCCCCCCGCCCCTTCCGTGCATTCTGACACCAAAAAGCACTCAACTGTCTCTCCCTCTCCTTGCCTCTGTCTCTGCGTGTGTGCACTGAGGCTGGTTCGTTTGTTACCGAAAGATCCATATTCATCCTTTTTCCCTTCCAAGTGTAGGAGATGTATAACTGTGATCCTAAGATTTAGGTCTAGAAGGAAAGGACCTTACAAGTCACCTGGTCTAAACCACCTGCCCCAACTCCCGACGCCCCCATTTTAAACATGAGGAAACCAGGGAAAAGCAGCAACGGGCTACTTGATTCCTAAACTAGTGTTATCGGACTTTATGCCTCTACCTGACTAAGAGCTCGGAGCTGCGTTGTTTTTCATTTTGGTTGTGTCCAGTCTATTGCACGGATTAGGCGTTTTACAAAACGGTCACCTTAATTGAGTGGAGAGCAGCAGCTCCGGGTTCCCGGCAGACCCAAGGGCGCTTTTCCCACTAAATAGGAATCCCACCTCAAAGTGGGGTGTCAGCATCGCGTCGTCCCGGGGCTCTGTTGCCCGATCGGCAATCGTGACCCCATTAGCCAGAGAGTACCCTTCCAACGTGCGGGGAGACGGTGGTTGCTTCAGAGAGGTTCTGCGTCGACCCCGCCCCTAACAGCTTCCCAGGGATCAACAGCTTTCCCCCTCTGGCTATTGTCCTTGCCGGTGCAGTTATAACACATCGCGAGTACATGGCACCAGCTCCCATCCTCGCCTGGACCCAGACTAGAGTCGCTGCCGACGCTACCCCGGAAAGCTTATCTAGGGCCCCAAACGTAGCACAACTCTTTAATGACAAGATGGGCGGCCCTAAAAAGGGCCTTTTTTTTGGGTAGGTGCGCTAGAGGCACAACGTCCAGGAGCATGTGACCAGCGGCTTAGCCGCCGAAGCCGTAAAGCGTGCGGCCCTGGCGTTTGAGGGCGTAGACCACGTCCATGGCGGTGACGGTCTTCCTCTTGGCGTGCTCCGTGTAGGTAACGGCGTCACGGATCACGTTCTCTAAGAAGACCTTGAGCACTCCGCGGGTCTCCTCGTAGATAAGACCCGAAATGCGCTTAACGCCACCCCGTCGAGCCAAGCGGCGGATGGCAGGCTTGGTGATGCCCTGGATATTATCCGCAGCACTTTCCTGTGCCGCTTGGCACCCCCTTTCCCAAGCCCTTTCCCTCCCTTGCCACGGCCAGACATAGCGACAGACAAAGACGAGCGAACTCGGTACCCAACCGCCGGCAGCCACGGTATATATAGGGAGCGGCCTATCCCGTTGCCGGACCTCTTTGAGAACAGGAAAGAGGCCAGGGGGCGGGGCAGATAGGAGGTGGGAGACAGCCAGAGGGAAATAAGCAGTAAGCTCCACCCTGAAAGGTCTAATCTGCAGCTTGCTGTTTGCTGAGGGGAGGGAGAGGAGACTGGCAGTCTGTCCCGATTTTTTATTTTAGGTGTTTGGTTCCGGAAGACCCTGGTTCTTCAGTTCCATTCAGTTCTGTAATGATAATTAGTTCCCTTTGAGTTTCTGTTTTGCACGCCTTGCGTTGCCGTACACACACACACACACACACACACACACACACACACACACACACACACACTTTTTCTTTTTTCTGTAAGGAAGTTGTCTTGTTGAATAAAAGCTCTGCCATGCCCTAGCCATGACAATAATAATTGTCATGTAATGACAATACCTAGGAATTGCTCGAACAAACGAACATGACTACCAAAACAAGGGCAGTATTTCGAGTGATGGGTTCAAATGAGTCAGACAGCAGGATTGTCATCAGCTCTTCCCTCCCTCTCTCCCTTCCTCTGTCACCCTCACTCCTACCTCCATACAATCCTGACTTTACTTTTAAAAGATGGGGGGTGGGGATTGGGTTGGGGGAGTGGGTCAAGGCAAGGTGGTCGAGAGATGGAGGAAGGTAGCCCTTTAACCCTTCCCTTCACCTCTGAGGCCTCCTTCCCCCCCCCACCTCAGCCTACCCCCGCCGGATGCCGACCTCAAGGGACTCTACAAATTTCAAAATCCAGAGCAACACCCCGGCCCCCCCACACACACCGCTACCCACCATAGCCCACACCCATCTGATTAATTGTCAAGCTTAGTCTAGTCTACCTCTAACATCTCTTACAAGAACCCACCACAACCAGTTCACCACTTCTCTTTGGAACTATTGCAACAGTCTCATAACAGGTCTCCCTGCACATAACGTAGTTTCTTCCTTCTCTAAGGTTTTCCTACACACAGCTGCCAAATTAATAACAGTGAAGTCCGTACTTGACTGTATGTCACTCTCCTGCTGAAGAAGCTTCAGTGACTCCTTATTGCTCCATAGGATAAAGACAAAACTCCTCAGTTTGGCATTTAAAGTTCTTCATAATTTAGCTCTATGGGTCATTGAAACCGACCTAACTGCTCTCTCTCTTTCATCTGCACCATCTGCATCTGCAAGGGGAAGTCCTTGTGGAAAGATCACAAATGTCAGGGGTAATTTTTTGTTTGTCTGTCTGTCTATCTGTCTATCTGTCTATCTATCTATCTATCTATCTATCTATCTATCTATCTATCTATCTATCTATCTATCTATCTATCTATCTTTGTGACAGGAGACTTCCAGACATTTGCTGGGGTTCTGTTCCTCTGACTGAATCAGAGCAGCTAATAAGTTCTTGACTTCTTTTAATGATTATTTCACACTTCAAAAAGGTGGTGGAAGCAACAAAGGGAACTGCTTCTCTGGAGAAGGAGGTGATTGCTCTGGAGACTGGGGGTGGGGAAGGGGAGAGGAATGATAGGCACCTTGGTGGGGACACTGGGACCCCAAGAATTGGTGATAGTAAAGGAGAAGAAAGCCAGGCAGAGTTTTAGCGAGCCTTGGATTTTGAGAGAGAAGATTGCAAAGGGTTCAAGGAAAGGATGGATAGGACTCCTTGGCCTAAAATTCTTCAGAGGGGAAGTGAGCCTAGGAGGAATGAGCAGCTCCCAAGAATGAAATTCCTGAAGACCATGGAGAAGCCTAATTCCAATGAGGAGGAAAAGAGGGAGTTGTCAGGAAGAACCAACATGTATGCATAGGGAACTCACTGATGATCTTAGAATTAAGAAAAAAAAAGGTACAGAAGATGAAAGGGAGCAGAGAATGGCAAATGAATTCAAAAGTGCACCCTGATTCGACAGTAATAGTGTTAGGAGTGCTGAAGGTCAGAACGAATTGTGGCCACAAATGAAGGCTGAGGACACCAAAATAGGGTTTATTTTTAGCAATGTCCAGAAAGAGAAGAAGATCCAAGACTGATGGTTGGGGCACAGATTCAGGGAAGGGGAAGATTTTCAGACGAGGGAAAGCTAGTTAATTAATCTGTTGGATGTCAGCATTAGGATCCCAAAAGCCTTGGACAGCCGGGAGCAGCAGTGTGAATCTTAGTAAAGTGCAGTTCAATAGGGGAAAATAACAAGTCTCATACACTTGGGTTCAACAAACCAATTTTACAAATAGGTGATGGAAACCTTCCTTGTCTGGGCAGCAGTTCCTGCGAAAAGGATCTGGGGGCCTAAGAGGACTGTAGCCAGCTCAAGAGAATTCAGCAATGAGATATGGAAGCCAGAAAAGCTAAGTAGGTCTAAGTCAAGACAGGACTAGCGCCTACTCTAGCCCACTTCTGGCGTACTGTGTTCAGCTCTGGGTGACAGCTGTATTTTAGGAAGGTCACTGATAAGCTGAAAATCATTAAGAGCAGGTGCATGGGCCTAGAGTTGTTTTGGGGGAAAAAAAGTTAGCTTGAAGGCAGTATGTATATGTAAGTGTGTGTTGGGGGATGGGGGTGGGCTACAGGGCGAAAAGGGAGGAAGGGTGGGAGGCATCCAGGGAAATGGGGCAGGGGAGGGGAAATCTGGTGGCACACGATAGCTGCCTGCATCCTCCTCTGAACTCATGGTGGCACGAAGGAATAATTACACTTGTTCAGGTGCAAAGAAGCAGATATTGGCTTTTGTTGGGAGGGAAAGCTTCTTAAGCATCTAGAGCCATCCTTAATTGCAAGGAGCTGCTTCTGTGGGTGATCCCTCTCCCTAAAAAGAAGGGATTCCCCTCCCCCCAACAAAGGCTGCATATGGGCACTTATTGGGGTATGTGAATTCTTGCCCTGGTACAGTTTGGATTAGGTGGCACCTGGGATCCATTCCAACTCCGAGATTTTGTGATTTTTTTTTTTAGTTGAATCAAAGGGAATTAAGGAAGCAGAACGGTTGTGGTGGTCTCTTCACACACTCCCCCCCGCCCCCGGCACTCCCTCCCCTTCCCACCACCGACCCGCCCCCATCAAAATCTGGGTCTTTCTTAGGTACTAAACGGGTTGAAATGCAAAAGATGCAACTTCACTCCCTCAAATTACTGGTCTAAGGATCTTCCAAAGCCCCTTCTGTCCTGAATGGAGCTGCCCGTTCTGGATGCAAAATCCTTGCTGCGTCTCATTCCCATGAATCCTTATGCCGAAATCGCGGAAGAGCCTGTGCTACTTCCTTCACTGAGAAACACGAATTCGATGTAAACGTGAAGAGAATCATTTTCGTTTTCGAAGAAATGAGAAGTCAAGGGTGTGCATAACCATACTCTGGAGGAAAGGCCATCGGGAGCAAAAGGACAACTTTCGAATTTGAAGGAAACACAGGGAGTTGTCTCCATTTGACTTGAGTTTTGTGGAGAGTTAGGGGGATTGGGAAAGGCTCCGAGGGCAGTATTTGAAGTTGCAGAGAGAAGTTCAGCGGCACACGAACCCAGAGTCTTGTCGCTTTAGATTCGGATAGAAAAGGCTCGATTGCGTGCCGGGAATTTTTGTATTTTTCTCTTTTTTCCAGGGGTAAGAAACACAACCATGAAGGAGAGCCGAGTGACTGTAAGCGGCTGAGAAGGCGGGTTGCACAGCGCACCAATCACAGCACGACTCCCTCGTCTATATATACTCCCAGGCCCAGCGTTCTGGGTTGTAGAGTGTGGTGGTCTGTCTTTCCTTGTGTTTTTTTTTTTGAAGTTTTGGTTTTGTTTGTTTGTTTTCACTGTTTGAGACAGAGCGGAGAAGCATGTCTGAGACTGCGCCCGCCGCCCCGGCTGCTCCGGCCCCCGCGCCGGCTGAGAAGACTCCGGTCAAGAAAAAGGCCAAGAAGCCTGCCGGGTCCGCAGGGGCCCGGCGCAAGGCTGCAGGACCCCCAGTGTCCGAGCTGATCACTAAGGCGGTGGAAGCCTCCAAAGAGCGCAGCGGCGTATCCCTGGCTGCCCTTAAGAAGGCGCTGGCGGCCGCCGGCTACGATGTGGAGAAGAACAACAGCCGCATCAAGCTGGGGCTCAAGAGTTTGGTGAGCAAAGGCACTTTGGTGCAGACCAAAGGCACCGGTGCTTCCGGCTCCTTCAAGCTCAACAAGAAGGCCTCTGCTGGCGAGGGCAAAGCGAAGGGCAAGAAGACCGCTGCAGCCAAGGCCAAGAAACCTGCTGGTGCTGCGGCCAAGAAGCCCAAGAAGGCGGCAGGGACAGCAGCTGCCAAGAAAAGCGTTAAGAAGACGCCGAAGAAGGTCAAGAAGCCGGCTGCGGTGGGAGCCAAGAAGGCGACCAAGAGCCCCAAGAAGCCCAAAGCCGCTAAGCCGAAGAAAGTGGCCAAGAGTCCGGCTAAGGCCAAGCTGGTCAAGCCCAAGGGAGCTAAGCCTAAGGCAGCGAAGCCGAAGAAGGCAGCGCCAAAGAAAAAGTGAAGGGTGCTACGGGAAAATTGCGCTTTCAGAAGCCTCAAAGGCTCTTTTCAGAGCCACCCCACGGTCTCCGAGAAAGGGCTAATAACACTCAGCATTCCTCTAGGCCGCGCGTCGGGGAAAGGGGAAAGGGGGTGTAGAGAACGCACATGGCAATGTGGGGAAAATGTGCTGGAGAAACACACACTTTAAGCCCTTTTTTCCCCGTGATGGGGCGGGGCCCTTACTAGGAACGGTTGTATACACGTTTACCTCCGGAGCTGCAAATCGCTCTTTGTTTATAATGAGACTTCCGTGCCATCTAGTGTACATCTTGCGGAGCAGCAGCCCGTTCCACTTCACTGGCAGCGCGGGACCCTCTCGTAGCTCCACACTGGTGTCGGGCTGCTAGCGGGGGGCACTTTTGCAGCCGGCCGCTCGCTTGCCGAGTACTTTGTACTTCCTGGGGACTTGAGGGCTGGGACTGGCTGGCTGTCTCACAAAAAAACCCTGCAAGACAGGAGAAGTCCTGAGGGCCCGATGCCTCAAATTCTTCAGCCGTCCCCAATTTGATTGGGCAGGTTTTCTTTCCTCTCACGGGTTCCCTGCATACCCACATTTTGTTCGGGGTCTGCCGATTGGGTTGGCTAACCCCTCTTCCTCATTTATGGGGGGAGGGACTTTTTACACTCCGAAATTAGGCCCCGCAACATCCCTGGTGTGCCCTGTATCGCGGGAGCTCCTGGGAACTTCCTACCCTCCTTCCCCAAACTCCTGCCCTAATGTGGAAGTGCAGATCCCACACTTTGGCAGCTCCATCTAATGCAGGAGTTGGGCCACCGGAAAACCCCATCTAGGCTAAGATGCTTTGGCCTACACATGACGAGGCGTTCGTTTTCACTTGATCAGCCTCTCAGAAAGCTTTTATTACCGAAGCTAACGCCACGAAGAATTGAGGATAGACCTCGTTAACAGCTTTTTTTCCTGAAACAATTGGGTGGCTCTGAAAAGAGCCTTTGGGTTAGGCTATCTCTCATGAGCCCTTTTCACTTGCCCTTGGCTTTGTGGTGACTCTCCGTCTTCTTGGGCAATAGCACGGCCTGAATGTTGGGCAGAACACCGCCCTGGGCGATGGTGACTTTGCCCAGCAACTTATTAAGTTCTTCGTCGTTGCGGATGGCCAGCTGAAGATGGCGGGGAATGATACGCGTCTTCTTGTTGTCGCGGGCCGCGTTTCCAGCCAACTCCAGAATCTCAGCTGTCAAGTACTCTAGTACGGCCGCTAAGTAGACCGGCGCCCCGGCACCGACTCGCTCGGAGTAGTTACCTTTCCGGAGCAAACGGTGCACCCGACCCACTGGGAACTGAAGACCCGCCCGAGAAGACCGAGACTTGGCCTTAGCGCGAGCTTTGCCTCCCTGCTTTCCGCGGCCAGACATGACGAACAGAAGCTACTTCCTTGAGAAAACTAAGGAAAAGATGCTGGCTTTCACTCTTTCGAAGAATGCAGGACTTATTATACTATCAAGCGGTAGGCTAAGCGGCGCTGTCCAATTGGCTCAAAGTCTCCTTCGGTTAACCAGCCAATTGGAAAGTAGAACCGGCATCTGGTCGTTTGCATACGCTCCTCCCAATAGGGAAACGCCTTAACATGCTTCATCCAATCCGACGTTAGACCTTCTTAATCTCTCATTTGAATACGCGCACTACAAGTGGAACAGACTACTTAGACCGAGCTGCGTTTGAGTTTGTTCTCTGACTTGCTTAGGTTTTCTTCGTTCTACGCTATGCCTGAGCCCGCCAAGTCTGCTCCTGCCCCGAAGAAGGGCTCCAAAAAGGCCGTGACCAAGGCGCAGAAGAAAGATGGCAAAAAGCGCAAGCGCAGCCGCAAGGAAAGCTACTCCATCTACGTGTACAAGGTGCTGAAGCAGGTCCACCCCGACACGGGCATCTCCTCCAAGGCCATGGGCATCATGAACTCCTTCGTCAACGACATCTTCGAGCGGATCGCCGGAGAGGCGTCCCGCCTGGCGCATTACAACAAGCGCTCCACCATCACGTCCCGGGAGATCCAGACGGCCGTGCGCCTGCTGCTGCCCGGGGAGCTGGCCAAGCACGCCGTGTCCGAGGGCACCAAGGCCGTCACCAAGTACACCAGCTCCAAGTAGGCTACTTGGCAGCGGAGACCGCAGCGTTACAACCCCAAGGGCTCTTTTAAGAGCCACCCACTCTCTCAAAATAAGAGCTTTAACCGTGTGCCATGTCACGCGAATATGTGTGTCTGTGTGGCCTGACTGTGGGCAGTCAAGATGGGCTGCTTCCTTTCTGAAGGATGGTGAAGAAGGCAACAGGATTTCCCCCATCTCTCCGCTCCCCAGGTACATTTGGTAGGCTAGACACACTACTTATCACCATCATTTTAACAACACACCACCCTCCTGCTACCTGTAACCAGCCTTGCTCCTGTGGGAGTGCATTTACATTCACACTGCCGGGCGAGACCTCATCAGACTTCACTGAATACCTGTACTTGAATGTCATCTCAATCCAAGCCAATAAATTATCCTAATAAAGTTCAGGGAGGAAAAATATAACTATGTCTCTAGAGGGGGAGACAGCTGGCAAAGCTAGAAAGCATTGGAGAGAAATTAGGGATGGCTTCCAATGTCTGATACCCACACACCAAAATAAACTCCAAATGTATACATGACTTCAAACAAGTTAAAAGCACGGAGAATTTGGGTAGGGGAAAAGTCCTTGATGAAATACCGAATAATGAGAATCATAGAGGAGAAAACGGACCGTTTTGATCACATGAAATTGAAAGGCTTTTTTTTAGGAGGGGGGCAAAAAATAAGCACAGAATTTAGCTAATATTAGAAGGTAAAATGGGTAGCTGGGGGGAAAGTCTTCGAAACAAATTTCTCTTTATCAGAGGAACCTCATATGCAAGATATATATATATATATATATATATATATATATATATATATATATATATATATATATACAGCTCATTGTGACTTATAAGGCCATTCCCCAATAGAAAAAAAAGGTGAAAAGACATGAGCAGGCAGTTTTCAATGGAGGAAATCCGAGGTATCAACAACCACATGAAAAAAAATGCCAGAAAAATGCAAATTTAAAGCAACTCTAACCATCTGTCACATTGGCAAAGATGACAAAAGAGGGAAAAGGAAAAATGTTGGAGCGATAGGTACACCGATGGCAGTATTGGCCTAGATGTGAATTGTTCCATAACCCTATCTCCCCTGCAACCCCCAGTCTCTTCCATACTCCCCATTCTGTTTCCTGAAAAGCAAGTTAGATCTATTCTCCAAAAGTCACTAAACTACAAAGCCTTTCATTCTCCCACACCACTGTAAGGCCTCTACCTTCAAGATCACAGAAACAGCTTTGTATGTACAAGAAGACCAATATGTGCAATATGTGTGTGTGTGTGCGCGCGCGTATATACACATACATATTTGTAACAGCTCTTTTTGTAGTGACAAAGAATAGAATACAAAGGAGCTGTCCACTTATTGTGGGGAAATGGCTAAATAATTAAATAAATACTATGAATGGAATCCTAATATAAAAAATGACAGGACAGTTTCAGTTGAATCTGGGAAGACAAGAAAGACCTGTATGGATCTGATAGAGAGTGAAGAAAACAGAACTGGCAGAAGAATGACAGCGACATTATAAAGTGAAATAATTTACAAAGCCTTTAGAACTCTTCTCAATGCAATGATAAATCATGTATCCATAAGACTGAAAATGAAAAAGCAGAAATTACCAGCCTTCTGCAAAAGAGGCAATGAAATTAAGGGGAAGAATGAGACACATATATTTGAACAATCCTGGTGTGGGACTTTGGTTAGCAACACTATGCATATTAGTTCAGGAGATTTTTCTTTTCGTGTAAAATTGTTCCATTTGGAAGAGGTTCTGTGAGAAGGAAAAATGACAGATACTTGGGGGAAGAGGGAGAGAGAGAGAGAGAGAGAGAGGGCAAAAAAAAAATGCACTGAATGATGTGGCATCTAAAAACTTAAAGGAAATAATAATTCAATTGAGTGAGGCAGGTTACCTGACTAGTTAGATTCTCCCAAGCTTTCTTAATTCTACCCCAGAAGTCCTTGTCCTACTGGTGATGTCTTCTGTAATCAGAAATGTTGCTTTAAAGGGGCCCATATATCTTCTATAAAGTGGAACTTGCTTCAGGGAGACCAGGCAGGAGGAAAAGGAATTGTTACTAGGACAGAGGAACTTGTGGAAAGCTGAGGCAATCCACCCAATAGTCCGACTGCAACTGTCTGAAAAATGGCAATCTGATCTTTAGTGAAGAGTCCTGTGATATCTAACCTTAATTCTATGATTTTATTTCTACTCTAACTTATCTGCTACTAAATGATAAGGTCTTATCAATCTATCTATTCACCAAATCTATAGGTAACCTAGACTTAAGAGACTATGTTAGCCTGGCTTAATTTAGAACTAGCTTTTCCTAAAAAAGGGAATTCAATCCTATTGATGGAGTGTGAGCTTAAGCAGAGATCTTCGCCCCTTGTACCAAAGGGAATCTGGCTCCCATTTGTCTACAGACCCCAGCTCCTTATCACCCTTTGAAAGCCCTAGCCCCACCTTTTGACCTTACTCAGATGCCTTCCAGTTCCCTTCATTACAGGCCCCATAAAAGACTTCCAGTTCCCTCCATTATCTATTCCCACTGTCTATTCAATCTCTCAGACCTCCCAATCAGAATTCTTACCTAGACCCTTTTCCCAGCCCCCTTCTCTGGCCACCCAAAGTTACTTCAGTGTATAAAAATTCTACCCTGGCCCCCATTCAGACGCTGAGAATCTCATGCCCAAAAGGCTGAGACCTTCTCATGCCTGCCAGTCCTTATGGGCATCACCTGGCCTATGTGTTTTATCACTACTAAACTTTTCCTCTGGCTGGAAGAAGATTTGAGTTGAATTCATTCAGGCAGGGCCCAGCATCGCAATCTCAGGGCTTCCCAGCAGCACCCCACAAACCTCTAGAACTCTTCACTATAATGAAACTAAAAATCATCAACAGAGAATCACAATTTCATGAAACTTTCATGTCAAAGGAAGGAAGAGATACTAGAAATTTCCAAGTAAAGGGGCATAGCATGGGGGTGGGGTAAAGATGGGAAAATAACAAACCCCTCCTGAAGGCCAAGGCAAAAGTCACATTCTTTTCCCTTGGGGACTGCTAGACCATATCTTTATGTTCTGCTCATCTGCAAGGGGCCTAGCTATACAAGCCTAGAACAGACTGGTACCTGTCTTGACTCCCAAGTACACACAGGGAGTCCAGTTTGGGATACAAAGAATACCTGTTAGCTGTGGGGGGGGGGGGGGGGGGGGAAAGGGTGTGTTAGGGAGGGTGTTGTCCTTGACACATTCAGGGCCTCCTGCATACTCTGAGTCCAGTGTTTCTGGGAACTATGGTAACTCAGAAACACAATTTTGGGGGATCCCTTAACAATCCTTAATAAAAATAAATCAAAGTAATCAATACTAACTGATTTCCTTTTCATGGGTAACTTTGCTTCTAAGTAGACTGTCAAGTTTGGTTAAATCATTCACAGAAGAAACACAGTGGTAAAGCAATACGTTCTCCTAAAATGAAATTTTATTTATCCTCAATCATTTGCTTCCTGATTTAACAAGCCTCTTTCTTTCCAAGCCGGAGGGAAGATTTAATAACAGGTAGTTCTTAAAAATGAAATAAAGCTTAAAAGGGAAACAACTATTTTCTACTAGATGTGCAATTGTATCAGTAGCCTTAGAACTTCAGCTGTTATGCCAGTGAAAAACTATGGAAGTGATCAAGTAAAGATGATGTTTCTAAATGATGTATTTCCAATTTTATCTTGGAAGTAATTGGGAACTAATCAATTTCTTTTGAGTTCATTTGGATATCCACAGATGCCTATCCATACTAATGTCCTAAAATATATAGGCTTTGGATATCTTTTAGTAACTATATTTAGATACGTTTTAGTAATTGCTTATAAGGTTTCAAGTTTAATTCAGGATTAGAATAGTTTTAATTAATTGTCAAGAACCAGAAAGTAAAATAGAAATGGAAAGAATCCACCGATCACCTCCTGAAAGAGATCCCAAAATGAAAACTGCCAGGAATATTACAGTCAAATTCCAGAGTTACCAGGTCAAGGAGACAATATTGCAAGCAGCTAGAAAGAAACAACTCAAGTATCATAGTGCCACAATCAGCAAAGCACAAGATTTAGCAGTTTCTACATTAAAGGATTGGAGGGCTTAGAGTATGATATTCTGGAGGGCAAAGAAGCTAGAATTACAACCAAAAATCACCTACCCAGCAAAACTGAGTATAATCCTTCAGGGGAAAAAATGGATATTCAATGAAATAGAAGACTTTCAAACATTCTTGATGAAAAGACCAGAGCTAAATAAAAAATCTGACTTTCAAATACAAGACTCAAGAGAAGCATAAAAAGATAAACAGAAAAGAGAAATCATGAAAGACTTAATAAGTTTAAAATGTTTACATTCCTACATGAGAAGATAATATTTGTAACTCATAAGACCTTCCTCATTATTAGGGTAGTTAGAAAGAGCATAGAGGGAATAGGTGTCAGTTGAATATGAAGGGATGATATCTAAAACATAAAATTAAGGCATGAGAGAGGAATGTACTGGGAGAAAGAGAATGGGAGAATAGGGTAAATTATCTCACATAAAAGAGGCAGTGGGGGGGAATAGGGGGGAAGTGAGGGGGAGTGAGTGAACCTTACTCTCACCAGAATTGGCTCAAAGAGGGAATAACATATACACTCAATTGGGTATAGATATCTATCTTACTTACCCTACAGGGAAGTATGAGGGGAAGGGGATAAAAGAAGGGAGGGGTGATAGAAAGCAGATTGGGAGAGGGGGTAGTGAGGAGCAAAACACTTTTGAGTAGGGACAGGGTGAAAGGAGAAAGAGAATGTAATACATGGGGGGAGAGGGAAGGGTGTACGATGGAGGGAAATACAGTTAGCAATAGCAAGTGTGAAAAAAAAATTTGAAGCAAGTTTCTCTGATAAAGGCTTCATTTCTCAAACATATTGAGAACTGAGTCGAATTTATAAAAATAACAGCCATTCCCCAATTGATACATAATCAAAAGATATGATAGTTTTCAGATGAAGTAATCAAGGCTATCTATAGCCATATGAGGAAATA